CATTTCATTTTGGGGGTGCTAAATAGTATTTTGCTATTAATTTCAAATTTCAATTGTTCACTGCTGATAAAAAGGAAAGCAACTGACTTGTACATATTAATCTTATATCCTGCAGCCTTGGTGTAATCATTTATTAGTTCTAAGTGTTTCCTTGTTGATTTAAAAGATTTTTTTTAAATTTTTGAGATGGAGTTTCACCCTTGTTGCCCTAGCTGGAATGCAACGGCACGATCTTGGCTTACCGCAACCTCCACCTCCTGGGTTCAAGCGATTCTCCCACCTCAGCCTCCCAAGTAGCTAGGATTACAGGCATGTGCCACCACACCCAGCTAATTTTGTATTTTTAGTAGAGATGGGGTTTCTCCGTGTTGGTCAGGCTGGTCTCGGACTCCTGATCTTAGGTGATCCGCCCGCCTTGGCCTCACAAAGTGCTGGGATTACAGGCATGAGCCACTGCACCCGGCCTGATTTAAAAGATTATTTATTTTTATTTTGTTTTTTTCTGATTTAAAAGAATATTATCTTATCTCACCTTATCTTATCTCAACCTATTCTTATCTTATCTCATCTTATCTTATCTTAGAGAGAGTCTCACTCTTGTTGCCCAGGCTGGATGACCACGATGCCCAGCCTTATTTTAGTTTTTTTAATTGAGACAGAGACTCACTCTGTTACCCAGGCTAGAGTGCAGCGGCGCGATCTTGGCTCACTGCAAGGTCGGCCTCCTGGGTTCACGCCATTCTCCAGCCTCAGCCTCCTGAGTAGCTGGGACAACAGGTGCCCACCACCACGCCCGGCTAATTTTTTGTATTTTTAGTAGAGACACAGTTTCACTGTGTTAGCCAGGATGATCTCCTGACTTCATGATCCGCCCACCTCGGCCTCCCAAAGTACTGGGATTACAGGCGTGAGCCACCCCGCCGGGCCAACAGTTTTTTAAAATGCAAAAATTCCTGTCCTTACGGAGCTTACCTTCCAGTGTGAGAGAAAGGTAATAAATAAAAATATGTCTGATGGCAACAGGTACAAATAATTTGCTGATAGATCAGATGCGGGGAGTGAGAGGAGAGGGAGCCAAGAATGACTGCATTGTTTCTGGAGGAATGGGACTACCATTTACTGAGAAGACTGCGGGAAGAGTAGGGTTGAGTAGGATGAAAACAGGAATTTGGTTTTAGACACGTTGAGGTTGAGGCCTTACCAGCCCCTGAAGTAGAGATGTCAAATAGGCAGCTGGCTTATATAGTCATGTGTTGCTTAATGACAGGGACATGTTCTGAGAAATGCATTATTAGGCAATTCTGACATGGTGCCAACATCATACAGTGTACTTACACACACCTAGATGGTCTACTACACACCTAGGCTGTATGGCATAGCCTATTGCCCCAGGCTACAAATCTGTACACCAAGTTACTGTACTGAATACTGCAGGCAACTGTAAAACAATGGTAAGTATTTATGTACCTAAACACATACAAGGTAATGTGTTATGACAGCTATGTCACTAGGTAATAGAAAATTTTCAGCTCTCTTTTTTTTTTTTTTTTTTAAGAGAGTCTTGCTGTGTCATCCAGGCTGGAGTGTAGTGGTACGATATTGGCTCACTACAAGCTCTGCCTCCCAGGTTCAAGCAATTCTCTGCCTCAGTCTCCCGAGTAACTGGGATTATAGGCGTCCACCACCACGCCTAGCTAATTTTCGTATTTTTAGTCGAGACGTGGTTTCACCATCTTGGCCAGGCTGGTCTTGAACTCCTGACCTCCTGATCCACCCGCCTTGGCCTTCAAAAGTGCTGGGATTACAGGCGTGAGCCACTGAGCCCGGCAGCTCTATTATAATCTTAAGGGACCACTATCATTTATGAGGTCAGTCACTGACCCAAGTGTCATTATGTGGCACATGACTGTATATGAAACTCAAGTTCAGGGGAGAATTCCAGGCTAGAGATGATGGTTTGAGATTCATAAGTATCTAAGTGGTCGTTAAATCCTTCAAATTAGACGAGGTCACCTAAGCAGTAACTCAGAGAAGAAAAACACAAGGACTCTGGGGCTCTCAAACATTTGGAGGTTGGGAGATTTAAAAAAATAGCAATGGAGATTTAGGAGAAGTAGCCAGTGAGGAGGAAAACCAAGATAGAATGGTGTCTTGGAAGCCAAGTAAAGACAATGTTTCAAAGACAGCATTACCAATGTTAAATGGGCTGATAGGTCAAGTGAGATGAGTACTGAAAACTGAGCCCTATTTTTAGCAATGTGGAATTATCAGTGAGCCTGAATAGAAGGCTCAAGAGTAACTGGGAGGAGATAAAGCAAAGACAGAGAGCATAGGAAACTCTTTCAAGAAGTTCTGCTATAAAGGGAGGCTGAGGAATGGGACAGTATTGGAGGGGGATGTATGGTCAGGAGGAGTTTTCTGGGGCTTATTTTTTCTTTATTAAGCAAGAAAAGCTACAGGATATGTTTATGTTGATGGGAATGATCCAGAAGAGAGAGACACTTAAGAAACAACAGCAGAGGGTGAAGCTGTTTTGAGATGCAAGATGATTTCTTTTTTTTTCTTTTCTTGAGACAGAGTATCACTCTGTCTTCCAGGCTGGAGTGGGGTGGCCCGATCTCGATCTGGGTTCACTGCAACCTCTGCCTCCTGGGCTCAAGCGATCCTCCCACCTCAGCCTCCCCAAAGTGCTGGGATTACAGGCATGAGCCACCACACCTGGTCTAGGCGATTTCTACTAGTAATAAATACATAGATATGGCTGCTATTATTGCAGTTTATTGCCTTGCATCATAACTGATGTAAACGCAAACTTTTGGTTAGAGGTTAGTAAAAGTGACATGCAATTTTTCTCCCATCTAAGTTCATGAGTTCCCCTAGTTTTAGGGTATGATTATGAGAGTATGTGGCTGAGGTAGAGTAGATGACAAGATCATTGGAGGAGGGCAGGTGAAGGAACTGAGAGGCTGGAGTTTTGTGGAAATCATGTATGTGGACAGTGAAATCTCCAAGAATTCTGAAACAGTAGTGGTCCTAAAGGAAATGACAGTGAGCTGGGAGCTAAAATCTTGGCCTCCAGCTGAATGAATGTTCCCTGCATCAAGGTATTCCCAATTATGAGGCAGCTTCTTCTACTTCTGGACAACTGTAATTATAGGAAACGTCTTCCTTATTCTGAATTACATTCTACCACCTAATATTCCCCATCTTGCTCTTGGCTCAGCCCTCTAGAACTATTCAATCCCTCTGACTTAAGATAATTCTTGAAGCTGCCTGGACAGTTCCCAGTGTTCTCTTTTCTAGGAAGAACACTGTCAGGTCTTTCAACCACTCCTTATACATCATGGTTTCCAGTATTTTCACTATTTTGGTTGCTCTCTTTGTGATACACTTGATTCATTGTCTTCCTAGAGGTGACAGTCAGTGGCATGATCTTCTGACTTCCCTTCTGCTATTCAAATCACTATGGCAATTAATAAACACTTTATTTTGCCAAGACGGGTGTGGGTACAACATTGTTACTGAGGGACAGCAAAACATCTTATACAAGTTACACAAAGACGTTTTCCCTTTATAATCTGCAGCCTTCTGCTATCCCTGCTAAATTCACAGTGATTAATGTTATGGTGGTGGAATTACTGACAAGAAAGAATGTTACAGTGTCCATGTTTCTAATACATGGCAGAAAATACTATGAATTAGTGCATCAGAAGGAGTACTTACAAGAATATCAGTATTTTCAAAATAATTCCTCCAGTATGGTCTGATTTTCCTCTGTCCACCAATGTCCCATACATTCAGTTTAAAACCTTGTGATTGTACACTTTTGATGTTGAAACCCTGAAACAGAAGCAAAAACATCAAGTTTTATTAAACTTTGGGATCATAATTCTGACAAAGTTACATTTAATAACTATGTATTTTTTTATTAATTCTAAAGTACTCTGCCATATGTGATACTGGTAATGCTGAAAATGGTTTGTTGTGACAGAGAATAAAGAAACATATTTATACATGCTTATCTCATCCAGGTTGTGGAGTCAGTGTTAATAATGTCAGGCTAACACAATGTTTTTCTACAATGAACATATATACATATATAATTGCTGAGGATAACTCCAAAGGAGAATAGCTCTAATTAATCAACACACATCACATGCCCATGAAGCTTCAGGACAGTAAAATTTAACAGGACATTTCATGTAACTAACAACAACAACAAAAAAGCTGAATCTGAAGACTCAGCAGAAAAGAACACAAGCTAAATTTAAAGAGGCAAAAGCTACAAATCTAGAGGATTAGATTCTTCAAGAGCAGCTCAAAATAAATTTCCTATAGGGATTAATCAGGAAAAAGAGCAGAACTGAGGATGCTATGGGGGAGGCTGGGTTTATAACTCGAATATATCAGCCCAGTAGGGAGGTGGAGCCCTCAGTTACAGACACTGATGGAAACAAACAAGTGGTCACTTAAAATTGTGCTTTCAGGCCAGGCGCGGTGGCTCATGCCTGTAATCCCAGCACTCTGGGAGGCCAAGGCGGGTGGATCAGGAGGTCAGGAGTTCAAGACCAGCCTCACCAATATGGTGAAACCCCGTCTCTACTAAAATACAAAAATTAGCCAGGCACGTGCCTGGAGTCCCAGCTACTCAGGAGGCTGAGGCAGGAGAATCAGTTGAACCCAGGAGGCAGAGGTTGCAGTGAGCTGAGATCATGCCACTGCACTCTGGCCTGGGTGACAGAACGAGACTCCATCTCAAAAAAAAAAAGTGCTTTCATAGGCAACTCTGATGAACTTGAACTTGAAAAGGAAGTCTTCATTTTTTTTTTTTGAGACAAAGTGTTGCTCTGTTGCCCAGGCTGGAGTGCAGTGGCGTGGCCTTGGCTCACTGCAACCTCCGCCTCCTAAGTTGAAGTGATTCTCCTGCCTCAGCCTCCCGAGTAGCTGGAATTACAGGCGCCTGCCACCATGTCCGGCTAATTTAATGTATTTTTAGTAGAGACAGGATTTCACCATATTGGTCAGGCTAGTCTCAAACTCCTGACCTCGTGATCCGCCCACCTTGGCCTTCCAAAGCACTGGGATTACAGGCATGTGCCGCTGCGCCTGGCTGGAAGTCTTTTTTTTTTTTTTTTTCAGACTTTCGCTCTTGTTGCCCAGGCTGGAGTGCAATGGTGTGATCTCAGCTCACTGTAACCTCTGCCTCCCGGATTCAAGTGATTATCCTGCCTCAGCCTCCCGAGTAGCTGGGATTACAGGCATGCACCACCACGCCTGGCTAACTTTGTATTTTTAGTAGAGACAGGGTTTCTCCATGTTGGTCAGGCTGGTCTTGAACTACCGACCTCAGGTGATCTGCCTGCCTCAGCCTCCCAAAGTGCTGGGATTACAGGTGTGAGCCACTGCACCTGGCTGGAAGCCTTCATTTTTAAGACAGTTACTTGAGGTGAAACTTTGAGGAAGGTGAGCAAATCAGGGACAGGCAGAATTGCCAGCTGCGGGTCAGTGTGGAAGGAAACAAATTAACAAGCCCTTTGGGGTTCCCAGAGAATGTATGTCATGAACAAGAATTTTTTTTTAAAGTCTTCTTGCAAAAATTACATAGGGAAACCAGGATTTGAAAAACCCAATCAGGGCCGGGCTCGGTGGCTCATACCTGTAATCTCAGCACTTTGGGAGGCCAAGGCGGGCGGATCACGAGGTCAGGAGATCGAGAACATCCTGGCTAACTTGGTGAAACCCCATCTCTACTAAAAATACAAAAAATTAGCCGGGCGTGGTGGTGGGCATGCCTGTGGTCCCAGCTACTCGGGAGGCCGAGGCAGCAGAATGGTGTGAACCTGGGAGGCAGAGCTTGCAGTGAGTTCACTGCCAGATTGTGCCACTGAACTCCAGCCTAGGCGACAGAGCGAGACTCTGTCGCAAAAAAAAAAAAAAAAAAAAAAAAAAAAAAAA